GGAAGGTATTATTTTCCGAATTGAATATAATTTTTATATATTTTCTTAATTTCTAATTTTTCTTTTTTAATTTGTGAGTTAGTCTGATTCCAAATTCTTGATTGATAATAACATAATCAATCTCTTAACAATGTTAGTCCTAGGTATAACGATAAACTATATCTGGCAGCAAGGCCTCCGATTGGACTATTGGATGTTTTGAGGAACGTAGAACCATCACTAAACTGCTATTGTTCCAAGGTCCATCCTGATCCGGAGTGTTAGCATCTTCCAGTGACCCAGCTACGGGCAGATAGCGAACGCCTAAACCAAAATCAAAACTTTTTTATAGTAAAAATTCCAATGAAACATTTTTATAAAAAAATCACCAGCAATTCATTTGGTCGGGAAATTCCTAGCAATTCATTTTTATAAAACAAATTATTACAAATGAAATTTTTTATACCAAAGTGATAATGAATACAACACTAAAAATATATAAGAAAATTTTCATTGTAAAATTACAAGCAATAAATTTTAAATAAATTTACTAACAATATATATTATCATCTACAAATTACCTATTTCGATATGTAATTTGTATGTATTTACACTGAAACTATGAAATGATGTATAAAATACCCGTAACTGAGAGCATAAAATTGTATTACAAAGATTTAGATTTCGTCAATCCATATATTTAATCAAAATCATCAGTTAACCTCAATCTTAACAATGTCTAATGCTAATGATAATATTAGCCGTTTCCTTATAAGGAAACATTCATTATTTGCTGATTCATCAGCCAGTGCTTCTATCGGTTGAAATTTATAAAGTCTTTCTCTTAAAACAATTTTTCAGGGAAATAAATTTCTCAAGGTTTTTTTTTTATCTCTCTTTCCGCGATTGATGGGGCTTTTCTTCCTAGCCTTTTGTTCGAAGTAGTGTGGAACGTCAATATCTTAACTATGTCATTATTTTCTCTTTCTCATGTTACATGCGTCATCCATTTTAGCTGCTGCATTTTCACTTGACGTTGTTTCTGTCATCTGATACAGTTCCTTGTAATTCCGTAGCGCCAGTCCACAAAGTTTGAAACTGTTTTCTCTTCACCAAGATGCATGGGCTTCAATCTGAAACCCATTTTAACCACTGATCTTAGAAAGCGGTTAACTGAAAAAAAAAAAAACAAATTAAACAAACGCCTCGGCTTCTGATCCGAATACTGCCTTCTCAGATGAGCCTCACTGTAAACTCAATAAGCCTAATTTAGTAAAACATTTATTGACAACGAGGCTTGATATAAAACAGGGTCAAGATTGGTTTAAAATCTGATACAAATAAGAGAGTATATTCAGTTGTATCCCCACGAATGTAAATTACTTTTAGACTTTGTTTTTTTAATGTTTAGTCATATATATATATATATATATATATATATATATATATATATATATATATATATATATATATATATATATATATATATATAAATATACGTCCTGCACAAAAAATGTCCCACATGTATTGTACCACAAAAGCCACGGGGCGGGCAGCAACACTTAAAGAGAATTAAAATTACCCGTGACTAAAGACAACTGCTTTAAATTTGTGTCCTGTTTCTCCTGAAGAGAAGAGCAAGGTTGCTCTCAGAAACGATGAAGTAGCGATGGGAGAGTTGCTTACTTTGTTTTTTTTTCTTTTATGCGTTAGTAAATTCGTTTGAATCAGTTAACAAACAATCCAGTCTTTTACTCTCTTTTGGCTGCTATCTCATCTTTAATACCTGGAATTTTCAACAAATAAAATGGGAATGTCAGGTTAGTTAAGGATTCATGACTCTACGCAAATTCTTTACAGATTCTTTACTTTATTATCTGTGAATTGTCATTCGTTATTGGAAAGAAAAATGGAATCGTTTCCTTCAGTTTTGGAATTTAACGTTTTCCTTCTCCTAGATTGTTTGCCATACAAAGCTAGGGAGTCAAGGTTACACTCTGTTATTTAACCTATAGACGAGGGAGAAGTTTGGACATATAACTTTCCCAAGGATTAATGTGCGAAAATGAATGCAGCAGATGACCTCATCGATTCCATTTTACACACTGATGACCGCTATGCTACTCACATATATTTTTAATTAAAGAAGTATATTTTAAAATCATTTCAACCCACGCAAGGCAATAAAGTCACTAAGATGCTGCGGGTTAACTCATAGTGAAATAACCTGAGAAAACGTTATAGAGGAGAACGAAAAATAGAGACCAGGATCCAAGGAGGTAACAGAGATGAAAGCTCGCTAGAATAATTGTCACGAAAATATTATATATATATATATATATATATATATATATATATATATATATAGAAAAGGCAAAGGAATGCTATTTTATGGCAGTGGCAATGTGACTAAAGGCGAAATATCAGATCAGGTCCAATAACATTGCAAATTTTTCTTTGGATTTTGTCAAGTATCTTTAGATACATATCAGATGCAGCACACCAGTTGTAGCAACGGTATTCTACGCACGGAGAAATGGTAGACTTACATATTTGCAAAACAGATTTGGGTGATAAAAATTGTTTAAAAATAATTACTGAGCAGCAAATTAACTCGTTATAAACATTATAACATAGATCGACCATGAAGTCTTAGGTTACAAACAAGGAGAAGGCTTATAATTAACATCAGAAAGAGTCAGCTGAAGTTTCTTGGACGCATAATGAGGAAGGAAGGCCTGGAGAATCTGATACTCACGGGTTGAATAGAGGGAAAGAGAGACAAGGGAAAACAAAGCGTGACATACCTGTCAGGCTTAAGCAAGTGGATGATAGAACGTGGTCTGGGGGGAGGTGGCCGAGGGAAGGCACTTGTTGAGAGCTGTAAAGGATATAGTCCATGTCCTTGTACGAGGTGGGTTGCTTCGCCTCCAATATTGGAGTTTCATGGGAATTTCGAAGCAGAGGGAAGGAACTTGTTGAGAGCTGCAAGGGATAGAGGGAGGTGTGGAGAGCCATGATTGCCTACGTTTTGAATAGAACATGTCACATAAAAAGAAAAGAAATTCATATCGGTAAAGTTTTAGCGATAAAAGGCAATGAGTTACTCTTTTGAAATACATTTTTTCACCTTCTATATGCCATGTTCCTCCAAGATGTTGGCGATCATGTGTCTCCACAATTTCCTGTCAACTATTTAATCATTTTACCCCAAGCAAGCGGGAATATCACTAGTGCACAGGGGGGCTACAGGTAGTAAAAGTAAAAGAATTGGGATGAGTGAGGAAGGGACAAAAGATGAACGGGATTCCAGAAGATTCAAGATGGCGATTGAGGTTGCATTTAAATTTTTGAAGATTGTAATTATCAAGTAAACGGAAGGGTGTTCCACCTGAAGAAGGCCGGAGCGTACAACGACCGAAACGTTGTAATAAATATGGTGACAAAGATGAGGACAACAGTCGGAATAATGTAAATAATCTATATAATACCTAATCTCAGAAATATAGACAGTTATTAATACTTGTTTTGATTTTTGAAGCTATATTTCGTATATACGAATACAATTTCAGATTTTGGTTTGCACATAACACTTCGCATATATTTAAATTTTTGTACTTGTTTGATTTTGGAATATGCAATTTATAATTTGCATTTTGGTTTCTTCCTCTTGCTGATAATTTTGAATTCTGTCTTCTTGTAATTGGTGTTTGGTCCTTTCTTCCTGCTTTTCTACTCTACCTTCTGCAAGGCGAGGCAAGTTGGAATAGGGGGAGTCAAGGTGGTGTAGTGGAAAGAATCTTGGATTAAGGAATTGGAGATCCGAGTTCGAATTCTAGTCGAATCCATTACATTCACTTACGTGCTAATACCCTTGAGAAAGGTATGAATCCTCTTTTTCTCCCTCCAGCTATGAGTAAATAGCAGGACAGACCGGGTTCTATAGCCTTGGATGGCAAATGTTCTGCCGCAGAAAGAAACCGCAACCTACTGCGGGAAAAAAATATGCCTGTATCGAAAGATACATGATCGCGTAAGCGTGTATCACGTATGGCACATAACTGTCTTCTGCAAGAGTTTTTATAGTTTCCGTTCTGCTACAATTCATTATATCAATCAATCAATGTGTAATATCTCGTAATATATATCATTACTGGAGATGGGTAACTCGTTCGGAAATCCAGAAGATATAGCTTTAACTTTTAGAATGACACCGTGTCTTACTTCGTCATCGTTGGAAAATGATTGCAAATCTTTTATGCCTTTCTCCACCAATTCCATACAGAGAAGTCGCGGGAATTCCTATTTTAATGTAATATCGGTAGATATCGAATCTTTATTTTATGATTAAAACATTTGTCTTAAAAAGCTGGAATGACACTCAAGCAGAGGAGGTTAATTGCATTAATTAATTAATTATATTATTAATATAATAAGAGAAAGAAGCGATAGAAAAAAATGAGACAATGAAAGAAGAGAGAGAAAAGGATAAAAGAAAGAGAGAAGGGAAAGGTGAGAGAAACGATGAGGAGAGAAGTAGAGAGAAAAATAGAGAAAAATAAAGAGAAAGGAAGTGAGAGACAAAAAAGGAAAGAAAGAAAAGAGAGAGAAAAAAGGAAAGAATGAAAAGAGAGAGAAAGGAAAGGAAGAAAAAGGAGAGACAAAGAAAAGAAAGAAAAGAGAGAGAAATGGAAAAATAGAAGGGAAAGAAGAGAGAGAGAGAGAGGGGGAAAAGGAAAGAAAGAAAAGTGAGAGAAAAAGGAAAGAAAGAAAAAAGAGAGAGAAAAGGAAATAATGAACACAGAGAGAGAGAGAGAGAGAGAGAGAGAGAGAGAGAGAGAGAGAAAAGGAAAGACAGAAAAGAGAGCGGGAAAAAAGTAAAGGAAGAAAAAAGACAGACAGCAGGGAGCGAAATAAAACGAAAACGGAAAGGAATTTTAAGAAAGAGGGAGATTTTGAGCGAACACCACAAGGGAGACAGAAAGAGAACGATTCAAGGGGGTGGGGAGAAAGAGAGCAGTTCAAGGGAGAGAGAGAGAGAGAAAGAGAGAGAGAGAACAGTTCAAAGGAGAGAGAGATGAAACAAAAACGTTAAAAAGCGAAATGAAAATAGATGAAAGAAAAATAGAGGAAAAACATTGAGAAGAAAGAAAGAAATATAAGAAAAAAAAAGAAAGAAAAAAACGAAAAGAAAGAAAAAAAGAGATAAAAATAAAAGTTAAAAGGGGGGGGGGTGATGAAGAAAGACTAGATGAAAGAGAAATAGAAACAAGAGATAAAAAAGAGAGAAAAAGGCAAATAGAAAGACTGAGAGAACAACAAGGGAGCAATGGGAATAGTGAAAAGAAAACGCAAAGGAAACTGAAAGAGGGGAAGTGTAAGAAAGAAAGAAAAAGAAAATGCGGAAGGAATGGCATGCAGACAAAGATTTGAAATTAAATGTAGAAGAGAAAGAAAAGAAAGAGATAAAAACAAAGAGAGGGAGTAAAAGAATAAAGGAAGATACAGACGAAAAGATGATTGGAAAGGGTGAAGACACAGACAGAGAAAGAGAGAGTGACACGGCAGCGGAAGAGGGATAGAGAAGGTAAGAGAAAAAAGAAAAGGTAAAAGAGATAGAGAGAGCTGGCGAGAGAGAAAGGCCTACGAGAGAAAGAAAGATAGAGGGAAATTTGAGTGAAAAAGGAAGAAAGAGAGATTAAGAAAAGTCCAATTGAAAGAGTGAGAAACGAGAAAGAGCAAAAAAGAAAGAAATAGACATAGTTATGATTAGAGAAAGAGAGAGAGAGAGAAAGAAAGAGAGAAAGAGAGAGAGAGAGAGGTCATGTCGAAAGAGAGAAGGAAGGCGAATGTGAGAGAAAAGAAAATGCAAAATAGAGGGAGAGGAAACGGCGAAGCAGAAATAGAACGATTTAAAAAAAAAAGAAAAAAGAACAAGAGAAAGGAAAGAGTTAAAAAAAAGGGGAGAGTGTCTGTTTATTAATGTGTATTTGTGTTTTGTCAATTTGTAAGCCTCTCTCTCTCTCTCTCTCTCTCTATATATATATATATATATATATATATATATATGTGTGTGTGTGTGTAGCTGCGAGTTTGTCTCTGCGTGTATATCTGTCTATATGTGTTTGTCTATGCTTGCATTAATACTCTATTCATTTCTTCCTTTCGTTCTTTTCCTTTCGACACCGACTGCCATTATGACTCGCTCTTTGCACCGACCAGAACGCCGACCATTCTACCGACCCCAACTCTAAGCCAAACTTATCCCCACCCACCCAGCAGACAGGCCGACCGGCGATTTTAATCAAATGATTGCGATGAGCGATTTCTTTAAGCTGACCTTCGATACCGCATCATTGTGTATAAAAGAAATTCAAACGAAAGAAACACACACACACTATAAATATATAATTCTTTGATAATATATATATAAATGTGTGTGTGTGTGTGTGTGTGTGTGTGTGTGTTCATTTTATTCTTTTTTATCGTTTCTTTTCTTCTTCTCCAAGATCTTAAACTATTAGAAGAGCCAGCACCACACTGAACTTAGCTTCTTGTATATATTCCGTACGCTCTTTTCTAGTTTCGTTGGACTTTCCTGATTCAGGGTTGTTTTCGATTTTCTTTACTTACCAATATCCAATCCAGGTATGTAGAGATTAACGCTTCATTTACAGTCTTCGACTCTGTGGCTTGGTTCCATAACATGGCTGATGGCAAATAATCGATATCCGTTTCCAGTATCTCCATAAAAGTTCTCGTAGAAAGAAAATTGATTTCATTTGCTTGACGCACTTCAACAGCCTATCCTCGCTGACCATTCCTAATGTAAAGACGTCGGTCCTCATTCGGGACCTCCCTATGGTGGACATGTACATGGCTCAGGTTTGTAAATATATACGTTGCTACTATAAGGAATTCGTAATCAAGCTACGAGGTGAGTCAAAAAGATATGCGCAATTTCGCCATAACACGTCTCTAGGTTTGTCACACTGGAACAATGAGCTGTGATCCGATTTTTCTGTCCGAAAGGTGTGTCATGGGCCGAAATTCAATACGGCGACACTGCCCTACCGTCTTTATGAGTGGATCGAGAAGATTAAAAGAAGGTCACCGGGAAATCTCCACCACTGACGAGAAGATTCAGCAAGCTCGAAAGATGGTAGTAACGAACTGACGAGTTATCATCGATGAGGTAACATGTCCTTTGCAGATTCGTATCACTGCTCTTTGTTCCTCTTTGGTGTACACTGCTAGCGGAGCGGCCATGTTTACATTCTAAGAGTAGCAAGAAAACTATCGGGAATCTCAAACTTTGATCCCGTGACCACAATAGTCCAAACTAGAAGCAGGCATATGCAGAAGGTAGTCGGACAAATCTAAAGATATGTTATAGCAAAAGTGTGGACAATTTTTGACTTAACCCCGTACTTTCGTAGACCATTGCTAAGAGATTTCAATATATACCGACTCTTGATCATTGCGGTCTTATGTCAGACTATAGAAAATACCTATAGAAACAACACGTAAATCAACGCTTATCAAAACTTGTATTATTTACATTATTCCTATTGTTATCCTCATCTTCAATGCGATATTCACAACGTTTCGACTGTTGTACACTCCGGCCTTCTTCAGGTGATTGGAATTTCGAACCAAACCCCTTATTTTCACCCACCGGGGTAGATTGTTCTAGTGCCATGCCTCTTCCGGGTGTCTCAGTTATTTGCCTTTAACTTGAGGACACACGACTTAATGAATAAAGACGTTAGCTAGATCCAGTGACGAGATCCGAAGTTCAATACCAGGTCACAGCAGTAGCGAACCGAACCTTCGAGAGTTGAATTAAAGCGAAATAACTGAGACAACTGGAAGAGGCATAGCACGTGGAACTAGAACAATCTACCCGGGTGGACGAAATGAAGGTTTCGGTTCGAAATTCCAATCACATGTAGAAGGCCGGAGCGTAGAACGGCCGAACGTCGTGAATATGGCAATGACGATGAGGAGTAATGTAAATAATGCAAGGAATCATGATACCTCATCTCAGAGATATAGACAGAACGCTTATCAAGCTATTCTCGTAGATCACTGCTAATTATAAAGAGGTCGATCCTCATTAAGTTACACTCCTACAGATCTGCTTAATTGCCAGTATGCTCTTCTGGAATTGTGAAACATATTTTCTGGACAAAAGAGACAGTTTTAAGAGAAAGATTTTAGCACAATTTTTCGCTCAATAAATGCCGAATATTTCCTTATAAAAAAAAAACGGCTTAAATTACCATTACCATTTATTGGTAATAGTTATAAAAAAACGACAGTTTTTATACACCCTTATATAGGCAGAATATTTATAATATAGTGACATTATAGATTGTATATTCTTGCGGACATGGCCCTAATAAATTATTATTATTATTGTTGTTATTATTATTATTATTATTGAGTAAGCGAAAAGCATGCTAAAATAGTGCCGTTAATATACAAATAGCTGGAGCCCAATATACCCTACATGACACGTGTGATAAGATTATTCCAGGCACATGAATCAAAGCCAACTGTAAGTGATCTACTAAAAAAACAAAAACAAAAAAACACACACTAAATCACTAAATATAATTCCTAAAGTACAGAGTGCCCCCCACCCCACAAAAAAAAACTGACTTCATTTTGTTGTCTAATAGGATAGTCAATTCTAGCGGAAATGATCTCAAATTTTACCAAAATATATCAAATCTAAGTTGAAATTGATAACAAATTATCAAATAGCCACTCTGTTCACCTGACTTGATAACTTGTGATTTTTTTTTTCTATGGCCCTATGTGAAAGGATTCATCTATATCCCCCTTTTTCCTACAAGCCTAGATGAACTTAAGCAGAGAATCACCGAGGCGGTGGAGAATGTTACACAAGACATACTACAGCGTCTTTGGCAGGAGCTGGATTACCGAATTGAAGTGCGTCGTGTCACAGGTGGAGGCATATCGAACATTTCTGAAATCGGTTATAAAATCTACATCCTTTTTAATATCTTGTTCGCATCTTGATAAATAAGTATTTATTGTTGAACAGTCCATTTGATTTCGTTTGAATGGGGTATATAGGTACTCAGATATTCACATTTCAAATGGTGTCAATTTACTTGGAACATCCTGTTTTAGGTGGCTCAGTTTGATGAGAACCAATTACATGCGAGGAAACTGGAGAAGGGCTGGAGTTTGTTTTTCTCGGTTAATGCGTTTGGCAACCATGCGCCGCGTTTCAAAGCCTTAACCATTGAGTGAACACGAGAGTAACACGAGAGCTTGCCATCTTTTGAGTGGCCTGGTGCGGCTCGCCTTTAATCAGCGCCTATAAATGGTTCTCATCAAACTGAAGAGGATGGCCAGAACTTGGAGAGTGTGGCGTGTTCGAACCTCTGCCCCTTGAAAGAGGGAAACTATTTCTGTGCCATTCTGTTGCTAAGGAAATCATCTCCGTACACAACACAAATGTGTCTCGAGCAGGTCTAGGCCAGCTTTGTGAACCTTTTGATTAATAGCAAAAAGATGATAATGTTGATCATGCTCATTCTTGTCGATTTACCAGTCAATTCGTGAAGGAGTGTCGAATCTGAAATAACATTTCAATAAACTTACATTACAATTTCATAGGATGGACAGAGTTTCTAAGAAGCAAAAATGCCGTTAAATATTAGTCTTTAAAACATCATAAAAACGAATGATTATATGTAACGATCTAATAATAATGATAATAATATGTACGTAACAATATAATAATATCAATAATAATAATACATATGTAATAACTTATTAATAATATGTAAAAATCTAATAATGATAATATTAATAGTAATATATATGTAACAACCCAATAATAATAATTTTAATAATACATATGTAACAACCTAATAATAATATATATATCCTTGTCTGGGGATCCAGAAGACGTTATGTCGAAGGGCAGAGTCTCGTCTCGAGAAACAGCCACCCTAGCCGTTTTATACGGTGTCTACGGACTCTGAAAACCCACATTAAATTCGGCCTTGTGTCACATCTGACCACATGAAGCGCTTGGTTTCCTGCAGTGGAAGATTCTGCTCCAGCTGTTCTGGTCAAAATATTTGCCTCCGAGCAGTGAGGATCACCAGACGAAACTATATCGAAGGGCAGAGACACGACTCGGGAAACAGCTACCTGGCCCCGTTTTATACAGGATCTACGGGGAAATTTTGGCTGGGAATCCAGAAGAGATTATGTCGAGGGGAAGAGACTTGACTCGGGAAACAGCTACCTGACCCCGTTTTATACAGGATCTACGGGGAAATTTTGGCTGGGAATCCAGAAGAGGTTATGTCGAGGGAAGAGACTTGACTCGAAACAGCTACCTGACCCCGTTTTATACAGGATCTACGGGGAAATTTTGGCTGGGAATCCAGAAGAGATTATGTCGAGGGAAGAGATTTGACTCGGGAAACAGCTACCTGACACCGTTTTATACAGGATCTACGGGGAAATTTTGGCTGGGAATCCAGAAGAGGTTATGTCGAGGGAAGAGACTTGACTCGGGAAACAGCTACCTGACCCCGTTTTATACAGGATCTACGGGGAAATTTTGGCTGGGAATCCAGAAGAGGTTATGTCGAGGGAAGAGACTTGACTCGGGAACAGCTACCTGACCCCGTTTTATACAGGATCTACGGGGAAATTTTGGCTGGGAATCCAGAAGAGGTTATGTCGAGGGGAAGAGACTTGACTCGGGAAACAGCTACCTGACCCCGTTTTATACAGGATCTACGGGGAAATTTTGGCTGGGAATCCAGAAGAGATTATGTCGAGGGGAAGAGACTTGACTCGGGAAACAGCTAACTGACCCCGTTTTATACAGGATCTACGGGGAAATTTTGGCTGGGAATCCAGAAGAGATTATGTCGAGGGGAAGAGACTTGAGTCGGGAAACAGCTACCTGACCCCGTTTTATACAGGATCTACGGGGAAATTTTGGCTGGGAATCCAGAAGAGATTATGTGGAGGGGAAGAGACTTGACTCGGGAAACAGCTACCTGACCCCGTTTTATACAGGATCTACGGGGAAATTTTGGCTGGGAATCCAGAAGAGGTTATGTCGAGGGGAAGAGACTTGACTCGGGAAACAGCTACCTGACCCCGTTTTATACAGGATCTACGGGGAAATTTTGGCTGGGGATCCAGAAGAGGTTATGTCGAGGGGAAGAGACTTGACTCGGGAAACAGCTACCTGACCCCGTTTTATACAGGATCTACGGGGAAATTTTGGCTGGGGATCCAGAAGAGGTTATGTCGAGGGGAAGAGACTCGACTCGGGAAACAGCTACCTGACCCCGTTTTATACAGGATCTAAGAGGAAACTTTGGCTGGGGATCCAGAAGAGGTTATGTCGAGGGGAAGAGACTCGACTCAGGAAACAGCTACCTGACCCCGTTTTATACAGGATCTACGAGGAAATTTTGGCCGAGCCTACGGGATCGGATATCTGATCTCTGAAAACCCACATTAAATTCGGCCTTATGCCAAATCTGACCGCGTGTGGCGGTTGGTAGATATCCTGCATTTGGAGATTCGTCTCCAGCTGTGCTGATCAAACTCTCTGCTCCTGGGCAGAGGGGATCGCTAGATAAGGCTATGTCGAAGAGCAGAGTCTCGTCTCGGGAAACAGTTAGCCGAGCCCGTTTTAAACAGGATTTACGGGGAATTTTTGGCCGAGCCTACGAGCTTGGATACACCACATTGATTTCGGCCTTGAGCCACATATGACCATGTGGGACGGTAGATATCCCGCAGATGGAGATTCATTGTGGAATTCACTTTATTCAATTCTAACAGTTGACTACTATTACGCGCCGCCGGCGAATCTTATATATGTTGTTCTTGCCCAAAGTATTATCGTTCATTATCAAAATTCGTGTGATTATTCTATTCCGAAACCATCCCTAGATCATAACAATATGAAACAAGCTAATAATAATAATAATAATAATAATAATAATATACATTTATCAACCTAATAATAATAATATTCATTATACATATGTAAAAACATAATAATATATATATACATATATATATATATAGCCTAATATTAGCAATAATAATAATACATACTGTTTGTTCTTCTAAAATGTTTAGCAACCATTGGTGAATGCTAGTGGGTTAGATTTCTTAATATATGAGTGAATCACATGACACACATTTGCTTCGTAGATACTTTATTGCAAGACTTTTTTTTTATCAGACTGCTATTCACCTGGCATCTGAAGACTATCATATTCCTCTTGTAGACGCCTGCACAGGTACATTTGAGATTTTTTAACGGCAACAGAACCAACGTGTTTTTTATTGCAACTATACTGAGTGGATCATAATTAAACTTTCTTGTGGAGAGGCTATTATCTTGCGTAAACAATAGTTTGAAAAACTCCTGTACGCTCAAAATCTCGGTGAGGATGACTCGTGATTTTGGGCTCGTGCAGCTATTGACGGTATTCGAAAGGAAGGAATTTTATTAAAAAGACTTGGGTCAAGTCGTGCTATGGTTTACTGCTGCGCACTTTCGAGTAACAATTTAGCTATTTTCAAGCAAGAAAAATTTTGTGTAGTAAAGAGAATTAATTATATACTTTCTTTTTAGTGGAGTTTTAATAAGATTTGGAACAGGTCGTGGGTATTAAGGCCTTAAGGCCAAAGGCGGCCTTCATAGGCGCTGCCATTTAGTCATGGATTGATTGTTTTTCTATCAGGACACAAAAAAGGTGGCAAGAAAAAAGCAAACTGGTAATTCATTTCTTGCCTATCATAGCAAAACAGACAGAAACAAAGGACTTCTGTCCACTTAAACCACTCTCTCTGTCTTTCTTTCTCACTCACACACACAAACACGCACACATATATATATATACACTAGACAGAAGACAGCTTTTAAGCATGGTTCAGACTTTCGCCGCTCAGTGTTGATCACAATGTCCATATATATATATATATATATATATATATATATATATATATATATGCATATATATTAAAAGTAATAAATCGGCTAGTATATAATCCAAGTCGGCCCTAGTAATATATATATATATATATATATATATATACAGTAACACACACACACACACATATATATATATATATATATATATATATATATATATATATATATATATATATATTTTAAGTTATGAAGAACTTGGTAAACCGTATGGGTAATCCCAAGGAGGATGAAATCCTGAGAGCTCAATGTAAATCCAGAGCTAATCTAATGATCCGGCGTCCTTTTAAAAGGACTCTGGTGAAATAAATTATTGTAATGGTACCTTAAAGTGGTCTGTTTTTCTTTTAAATACACACAAACACACACACACACACACACACACACACACAAACATACATATATATATATATATATATAAAACAAAGAACAATAAGATATGTAATCCGGTGTTATTATTGATATTTTTATTTTTTTTTATTTTTTCCAATGTAAATTTACAGAACATTAATATTATAAATTAACTGATTTATGTTTTTTTTTTTTGCTACACAGTAATACCGTGTTTCGAAAGTGGAAGCTAAAAACTTTAAATTTAATTTTGTAATTAAATTAAAAACATAATTTCTATTTCATCCTCAAGCGAATTTATATATATATATATATATATATATATATATATATATATATATATAGATAGATAGATAGATAGATAGATAGATAGATAGATAGATAGATAAATAGATAGATAGAGAGAGAGAGAGAGAGAGAGAGAGAGTTAAGCGTATATAGAAAGGAAAATATCGAAAAAATATAAGCAATAAATTGCTGATACCAACTGAAGAGTGGACGGCCAGATCCGCCTCTGGAGACGGGATGCTGAAGATAACACTAATCAGATAAGTGATAAACTTATACTCACATTAATCATAGATAGATAGATAGATAGATAGATAGATAGATAGATAGATAGATGTGAACAGACTGAAATATGTAGAAAGATGTGAAAAGACTTAGATAGATAGATAGATAGATAGATAGATAGATAGATAGATAGATAGATAGATAGATTGATAGTTGTGAACAGACTGAAATATGTAGATAGATGTGAACAGGCATAGATAGATAGATAGATAGATGTGAACAGACAGAAATATGTAGATAGACGTGAACAGACTTAGATAGATAGATAGATAGATAGATAGATAGATGTGAACAGACATAGATAGATAGATAGATAGATAGATAGATAGATAGATAGATAGATAGATATGAACAGACAGAAATATGTAGGTAGATGTGAACAGACTTAGATAGAGAGATAGATATGTCTATAACAATGTGCACTTCGATCAAAGTATGATAAAATATACTTTATTCGCCAGAATAGGTAAACTAATTAATTCTTTCATCGTCTTTTCTATTTTTTAACCGAACGATTTAATGTATCAAGCGTTACCCAGGCAACACCCACTTGCCTGGGGCATCTGAAAATTCGATTATGCTTCATGATTAGATTTGATTAAAATCGGTCGCTTTCACATCAAAGCCCAATAATCAACGAGAAGGAACAGGGTGGATAGCGATATAATGAAGTCGAATCTACCATTCTATCCATAGTCCTGGGTGTGGCAACGCGAGTATAAACCTAAGAGATTTTTAATTTTTTTTCCGTAAAAAAAAACCCCAAAATGAAAAAATACAAAAACATTTAACCAGATCAATAACCGATTTTTTTTAGCTCTTATCGATTGATTTCTATTTAAGCTGTGAGGTTTAATCTAGAGTCTTTCAGTTCATAGAACTCTTTTTTTATATATTGTACCCAACTTTTGGTTGGAAATGTCCTAACGGCTAACGTTAGTAATTGGCAAATTGTTGCTCTGAGAGAAGGCCTGAATCGACACCTTTTCTTCCTCTTCTATGTGCCGTTTTCCTTTAGAAAGTGCATGCTCATGGCTCTCCACCATTTCCTGTCCGTTGTAGCTCTTACAAAAGCTAGTTAGGTTGGTTATTCGCTACTTCCTTTTGTCCCTCTTGCCATTTATATATCCTGTGAGGGTCAAATTCACTAAGCCGTCTTTCCTCATTATTCATCCGAGAAATTACAACAGTTTCTATCTTTTTCTTATTCGAAGTATGTGTTTTTTTCTAGTTTATCTAAAACTTCTTCGATGTTCACAAGTTCAGGGAATAGTATTCTCAGCATCCTTCTGTAGAATCACATATCTAATGCCTCAAATCTACACCTCATCTGTGATTTACTGGTATATATGAGAACCGATATTAGATAACAGTTCAGTGAATTTTTTTGTCTCTTGCTAAATTTTCTTTTGTGAAATTTTCCTATTTCGTCATATTGATTAAAGAAGAGATAATAAACGTTTCTTGTTTTGATCTTTCCCAAATTATACGAGGGAAAACTGGGTTTTCTAGCCTTGGTGAAAAACCAGTATAATTCACACTGATTAAAAACTTGCATTTGAACCTCAGAATCTCACTAGTGCCGCTTCTTTTAATAAATCAATTCATAGAAGTCTCCTTTCTCCAGACACCATGTAAGTGACGAACACTCTGTCGATTGTCACTGGGAGAGGAGGTAGCAACCAGAAAATAGTGTCTAATTCACTGAGTAATACAATGAGTAGAATTAAATAGTAAATGATGAGCTAACTGGTCATGAGTTGGACATAGCTTTTCGAAAACAAATTTGAGTACTTCTGAGACGAGTAAAAAAGCAGAAAGATGGAATAATTCCTTGCTAATATTGGTTATGGCACATTAAATTCCTGTGACAACCAACAAAATCATGTTGCTTAAATGATCATGTCGGAGTCTGAAGCAATTGCTCTTTTATGACTGACAGTAAAATCGAAAAATGAGGACAGCTCACTGTCTAAAAGTAAGGAAAAATAAATAATATGATTAGTTGCAGAACAACTTTCATGGATTTCAAAATAAGATGGGAAATGGGAAATGAAAACGAGGGCGGTTGGCATGAGAATAACTAAATTAATTAATAATTTAATAATAAACTGCACGCTTTGAGAGATCTGCCTCGAAAAGTACGTAAACCAGCAATCAACTTGGCAGACAGGCTATCGATACCTTTTGAGTACAATTTCATAGATTTTGATAGGGGGAAAAAAGATTTTGAACAACTCTTGAATCTGTTTTGATTTAGGTAAGCTTTCCTTCTGCAAATTGTTTTTTTCTTTTCAGCGATCAAAATATTTAACGGTTGCTGAAAGGACAGTTAAATATGGCCGCCAGAAGAGACAAATCGTTTGTTATTTCTGACGTAAGCCGCCTTGTGTTTACATGGAGATCATTTAGTATTTTAATCAACTGCGTAGCTGACCAAGAAAGTAAAGATCAATGTTCACTATAAACTTCATCTGTTCATAAAGAAATGCTGAGATTTTTAATGAAATCTGATAATTCCTTGACTTTTGGTATTTTTTGAAAACCGTGGTTATCGGAGATTTTATGCGTCGAACGTGCACATGATTAATATATTTCAAAAGAACATCAAGATTTTTGTTTGTCATACGTTATATAAATTGTGCTCAAACATTGTAGAGAAACGGTTAATCAATTCTAAGAGAATTAAACACGCTCATCTGATCCGTATCCCATTAGGGTTGTAGGGGCACCACACGTACTGCAACCGCAGTAGTAGTGGTGTTTCCTGGTCAAGATAGCCTAAGTATAGCTGGGGGTATTACGTATTGTTTGAGCTGCATCTCTGGAAGAAATATAGATTCAAAATTAGAATTTTAGTATCATAATTAGTATATGTAGGTAGCGACTAATCCAGAAATTCTGTATCAGTCTGCATTTTTTCATCTCCCCTCTCTCTCTCACTCTTCTCCCATACACGGACACACACACACACACATATATATATACTATATATTTTATATCTACATGTATGTAACATCTGACGCAGAAATTCTGTCTCACTCTGCATCTCTTTCTCTATGTATATATTTATCTCTCTGTCTCTCTCTCTCTCTCTAAGTATTATTTGTATATGTATGTAAAGACTAAAGAAGTAATGCTCTCTAATACCCTGCATTTCTTTCTCTCCTCTCTCTCTCTCTCTCTCTCTCTCTATCTATATCTATCTATCTATATATATATATATATATATATATATATATATATATATATATATATATATATATATATATATATATATATATATATATGTATATATGTATATATATATATGTTATTTGTATATGTATGTAGACTAAAGCAGAAATGCACTCATACTCTGCATTTCTTTCTCTCTTTTCTCTCTCTCTCTCTCTCTCTATATATATATATATATATATATTTATTTGTATATGTAGCGAGTAAAGCAGAAATGCTCTCATACCCTGCATTTCTTTCTCTCTTTCTCTCTCTCTCTCTCTCTCTATCTATCTATCTATCTATCTATCTATCTATCTATATATATAAATATATATATATATATATATATATATATATATATATATATATATATATATATTATTTGTATATGTATGTAGCAACTGAAGCAGAAATGCTCTCATACCCTGCATTTCTCTCTCTCTTTTATATATATATATATATATATATATATATATATATATATACAGAAAGAAAGAAAGAAAGAGGGGTGGATTTTGTGTGTGTGTGTGTGAGAGAGAGAGAGAGAGAGGGGGATTGTGTGTGTGAGAGATAGAGAGGCATGAACAGAAGGAAAAAAGAAAAAAGAAACAGAGAAAGAAAGATAACTTCTGGAAGAGACTCCGCTTACATGTACAAGTGATCTCTTGTTAGTGCGAGTCCAATAGGCTACAATCCATTCCACTAATGCTGCAATGAAAATATTACTCTTGAAAATATTTTCGTATCGATACAAATTTTATCATTGTGTAATGAAGCCTTTACGAACGTTCGCTTTGTTTTGTTTTGTTTTCTACAAAGAAATTTCCAAATGCCAAAAATGGTTCGTCGGCCGCCTATCCATTGGCTATTTGCGGAAATCTGCCAACTGGAACAGCCGACGATATGAATTATTTCCCTCAACAATTCAGTCAATATTTTCGTACAACTATTTCGCATGTGTGATTTCTATTCAACATGGATACGTGTGCATCTCTCCAAATGTCTTCATCTTTTCTATATCGATATACGACATTCTTATCTATGTCAAATTAAACTTGAAGATTATTTTTAATGTTTGTAAATCGAGTATCCTATTATAATTAATTCTGTTCGTCCATCATTGAGAAAGTAAGTTAGAAGAGGCTTAATACTCTGCCATTACATCAGATAAATAATGAACCATTCCGTTTTGATTGCAAGAAATGACGGAAGGTAAAGATATGTACGAAACGCTATCTGTTTACTGAAAGAAAGAAGAAACGGAAAGAGAGAGGAAATAACGCTGTCAGGCGCTTAATGTCTGTCTTAGTGAAATTGAAAAGCAGAAAAAAAACAGAGGGATATGGAAAAAACGGAATGGAGAAGAAAGAAAGAAAGAAAGAAAATGTCTCTAACGTTACAAGTGGCAGCAAGTCATGACAAATAATAGCTAATATAAAGGGTGTTTCATTAAGATGGATTATATCTTACGGTGTTTCATTAAGACGGATCAAAGTCAGTAGTAAATAAATCAGTGCTATTGGTGAAAATTTATTTATTTTTCTATTGAATCATGTTATTTAAGTCATGGCAATTATGTGTGAAAAATAATATCGTTCAAATGTCAGCCAAATATGAAAGAAAAACAAAAGAAAAATTATTAGCCGTTTAAAATTAATTCACATTTAAAATCGGTTCAAGTTATTGGAACACCGTTTATAATTGAATTAAATGTAATTAAACTTTATCTTCTTTCAGGAATATAATTAATACGCAAGAAAGAAAAGCGAAAATTATTTATGACTCAACTTAATATATTTTTATTGACTGATTCGTTTTCTACAGTGTAACAACTCACTGGAGATTATTTAAAGCAAGAAAATATTTTTACTTTCTAAGAATTATTTTTCTTTAGGCGGGGGAGATAATAATGGTTTAGTAATACGCGTCTTACTAATTAACCCATAGCTGGGGGGAGAAGAGGTGGATTCATACTTTTCCCAAGGAAAGATATTTTCGCGTAAGAGAATATAACGAACACAACAAGATTGGAACTCGGCTCTCCAGCCCTGGTTCCGCCATCCATTCATATAAGTTCATCAAGTAACTTGCTCGGTGCCCTTCCCCTATCTTTCTTGCCCTCAATATGCCCGTGGGGATTCAGTTTCCCAAACCTGCCTTATCTATCCAGAGAATTTTATTTATTTTTTCCATATTCTGAGAAGTATTCTTTCTGTTGCCATTTTCTTTAAGATTTCCTTGTTACGTAGTTGCTCCGTTCATGGAATTTTCAGTATCCTTCTGAAGAACATTTCTGCTGCCTCTAATTGTTTCCTCGTCCGTGAGGAGATTTTCCAGCATTCTGTGCCATATAAAAGGATGATTATCACATAGCTGATCATTTCGTTTCTCTAATGAAAACCAGCTTCAAGACTTTGTGACAGCAGAATTTTACTCAAAATCTATCTTTGATAACTTTTGATTAACATTCGAAACTCCTTCGAAGATTTTTCATGAAGACATCGTTGTTGCTTATCCGATCCCTTCATGGAATTCTCGGTATGCTTCTGTAGAACCAATTTTCCTTATTCTTCATGTTTTGCCGCCTGTTGTCCTCGTATGTGTATATATTTTCAACTCTTCTTTTCGGCTTGTCTACTAATTGAATTCTCTATGTTCGTGGGCCGACTGGAATCTCTTCTCGCCACTTGTAACGGTCGGAAGATTTCATGGTTTTGGACACGTCACGTGGCATAACAGCCTCTGCAAGACCATCAGGCAAAGCAATGCTGAATCCCGACGAGTGAAGCAGATAAGTAACTGCTGATGACAACGGCGACGAAGACGACGACGACGACGACGATGTTGATGATGATGATGATGACTAATTTAAAAGTTTCTGAGATACTTTTGAGGCTTGGTACCATTTTAAGTTTTCTTTTTAACCATATCTGTTATGGCGCTACACAGTCTTCACTTTCAAGGTGCTATGCCTTCTTTTTTTATTTGAAACATTTTCTTTCTTTTTTATCTTTCATTTCAGTTCGCCTTCTTTCTTCATTTTTTTTTACATTTGCTTTTCTTACATCTTAGTTTATTTTATTCCTGGGTATGATGATAAACTACATTCGGCATCAAGGACCCTGATCGGGAGATTAGAACTAGTTCTTAATTGCTGTTGTTCCCAGATCCACCATGGCCCGATGTAGTAGTACATGTCAGGTTTCAAGCTATGAGCAAATATGACCCCCCCCAAAAAAATCAAGGTATTATGAATGTATAAAAATACATTTTATAGTAAAAATACCAGAAATACATTTCTATATGAAAAAATGACCAACAATACATTTTATAACAAAATGACCAACAATACAAAATGACCAAGAATGCATTTTAGAGCAAAATGACCAAGAATATATATTTATAACAAAATGACCAACAATACATTTTATAGTAAAAGGACCAAGAATGCATTGTATAGTAAAATGACAAACAATACAAATTATCTGTAGTCCTAGTCATAAAACTGCATTCAAAATATTAAGATTTCGGCATTAAATAAGCCATAGAGGTGTTGATATACCATGAAACAAAATCAGCCAATCAAACAACTAACATGAAAGAAGTCTTTCATGACATGAATCCATACAATATCCTATAATATCAATATGATCTAGAAAAAAAAGAATATCTTCCGTATAATATCCTACAATATCAATATGATCTGGAAAAAATGCATAACTTTCCTATAATATCCTACAATTTCTTAAAAATTCAAATTGTATTCCGAAATATAACTTCAATAAAACTACAACATAAAAAAACACCGGCTCTAGCAATTATGTCTGTACAAACATGTATATGCACAAAAAGCTGAGTATCATCTACCATGTATTCAATTGTGAAGGCAGAATGACATTAATATTTCATTGCTTTATATTATATTTTGTGCATTAAATGACCCATAAGGTATCGATATGCCGTTTAGGAATCAAATTAATTAATCTTAGTTTAATTTCCTTCCCTTTCTTCTTTCGTCATTTTCGTTTCTCTCACAATTCATTTGAAACATTTCATTTTGTTTATTTCTAGATTTTTTTCTTCCTTCTCTTCCTCTTCATTCTTTTCTTCTCTTTTAGTCTCGCTCTCTCACGTTTCCATTTACTCATATTTCTTTCTTTCTTTGTCGGTCTTTCACTTTTTTTCTTCTCCATGTTATTCGCACTTAACTCTCATTTTACGCTTTTTCTTTTTCCTTCTGCTTTCTTTCTTTTTCTTCTTTCCTCATTTTAGGATTTCTTTTTATTTAAAACATATTTCTTTCTTTCTTTCTTCTCTGCTTTCATTTTAGTCTTTCATTTTTTTTACATTTTCTTTCTTTTTATTCATTCCTTTTTTCTCGTTTTCCTACTTCCTCCATTTTAGTCTTTTTCTTTCTTTCTTGCTTGCTTGTTTTCTTCTCTGCTTTCATTTTAGTCTTTCTTTTTTATTTTATACATTCTTTTTTTATTTATTTATTTCTTTTTCTTTCTTGTTTTCCTACTTCTGCCATTTTAGTCTCTTTCTTTCTTTTTTGCTTCTTTCTTCCATATCTTTCCTCTTCCATTTTATCCGTGTTCCTTTTTTATTGTACAAAATTCATTCCCCCTCCTTCTATACATTCTTCTTCCTCTTTTTCCTTCTTTCTCTCTTTTAGCCCCTCTTACTTTTTCCATTTGACACTTTTTCCTTTTTTTCTTCTTATTTTCTTTTTCCTTTTCCCGGTTTCTACCTTTTACTTTCTTCTTTCTATTCCTCATTTTATTTTCCCTGTCCACCACTTCCGGCTTTCTACTCTGCTGACTTTGAAATTATTTTAAGTTGAGCATACAACAAAATTAATTAATACCCCCAAATCTTAAACTTACAAGTAATGTTAGAGAAATGATAGTCAGAGTTCAAAGGTTAACTACATTTGTGTTCAAACATTGGCCTTAAATTTCAGGCACCGTTTATTATTAATTACCATCCATTTTACGACCAGCTGTTGCCCGCCAAATTTCAACTCTGTGGCGCTTCAGAATAAATAGAAAAAAAAATTGTCAAAATATACAAGAAAATAAACAGTAGACAGTAAATAACGAGATGTAGTCGGGACGAAACACCAAATTGTAAATAAAATATTTCTTCGTCTCAGTTCGTTTTTCTGAAACCAAAAACATTAAGGCAAAGACGATTGTGAGCTTCACTCCTAAGCGACAACGTTGGGAACGAAAACGTTTCCAAATCAAAATTGCTGAGTATTAAATATAGTTAATAGTAAAGTAAACGAGTCGTGTCGACACGCTTCGTCAAGTGTGATACATTCAAGTAGACGGCGGTGAGATTTTAAGGAAGGTGAAATTTTCTTTAGATTTAGGTCTTCCAGTAGCATTTAGGACAAGTGTTTGTTTAGCGTAACGTCTAATCTATTGTCAGCAGAAAAAAAAAGTGACACCGTTGGTTGCTTTGTAATAGAAAAAAAGGTTCTTAGGAACAAAAAGAGAATAAAAGAAAGAAGGTCAAGGAAATATTGTTAGAAAGAAGCTTGATAAAATTGTCAATAAAATTCATGCATTCCAAGGCAAAAGACCGTATAACATGAATCATATCTATCTATCTATCTATCTATCTATATATATATATATATATATATATATATATATATATATATATATATATATATATATATATATATATATTTATATATA